TGCGGGCAGCAGCAGCCGGGGGCAGGCAGAGCCTGCAAGGTACCCTTGTAAGCAGGCAAAGTCCATGCAGATCTTGAACTGGATTATGTTCAACAGAAAGCCCTTCATTTTTCTTCCAAGGTATATAGCTGTGTTCCAAAAAATAAATAAAAAAAGGGCTACAAAGGGAGCAGTAATCCAGTAGCTGGAGCCAGGAATGTATGAATCATCAGGGCTAGATCGGTGGCTGTTGGATGGGGCACAAGCTTCTGACCAGAGGTGGACTGAACTGTGTGTTTATTTTGCCACCCTGGCTCTTCGGACCCCCCAACATCACTGAGAAACACAAAGGACTCAAGCACTGCAGGATAAAAGCCCTCAGTAACAGACGATGTTATAAAGAAGGAAATCTTTGAAGTACTTCCTTCCTTGGTTTTGCCTAGGTTGCAATTCAGTGTAATTCTTCCTTGCAAACTTGAGAGATTAGGCATTGCTGGGAAAAAGCAGATTGCTAAAATCTCTCCCACAAATCCCAATGCTGCGACCTTGCCGCGACCTCCATACAGTGCCACATCTGCGCAGTGGGAGAGGGAGGTCGTGGTGAAGAGGCCAGCTGTGCTTCATCCAAGGCTTTCACTCTGAGACAGGGCTTAGCGCTGCCGGGCCGATCCTTGTGAGGGGTCAACTATCTTTGTTACATGGGCTACAGCAGAAATCTGACTGTTTGGGGCTGCTGAGGATATGCCCCATTGTCCTCAGCCGGAGTGCAACGAAGCACCTCCTCAGATAAACACACAGTCATTAATCTTCTAATAAGTTGGCTTGAAGACAGGAGGGCAGATGTAGGAAACTCAAGCAACAGTTTCATTTAGTAGTGAGTGGACCAGTCCCTGTTTCAGCTCAGTCCCAGAGCTCCTTTCTTCTAGCCATGCTGCCGCAGTAGAAAGCTGCCCTCAGCCCTGCCTGCAGGCCAACAGGAACCTCGAGCAGCACTGCTGCTTCCCCGCTGTCTCCTCAGGTAAAGACCAGACCCCGTGAGCCCTCTTCTTCACCTTCCTGCCCGTGCCTCTGCTTTAGTGGGATCCTTTGGAATAACACTCATACCTGCCTCACCAGGGACAGGATTTGTCCCTGCCAGGCTCTGATCTGCTCACCAGCCATACATGAGCAGCTACTTTCTTGCATTTAAAAATGGAAGAATTGGTGACTCATCTACAAAAATAAGTCATTAGTGAGAGATCTGAGGGTGCAGTGGTGTTTCAGGCACAAGGGTACCCTCCAGAAAGGGGCTGAGCTCTGCAGACCTTGTGCTGTGTCTGCCAGTCACACACACACACATCGTGGGTAACATAGGGCACTAGATGTTTAGGTACCTCAATTAACCCTAAGTTTTCAGGTCACAAAACTGTCTCCCAAACAAAGCAGACTGGTAGGTGTCCACAGAAGAGTTTCCCAAGCTGATTTTGGAAAACAAAACCCAACAACATCCAGTTAATGCACACCTTGCCGCTACTACAAATTATAACCTTGTTCCTGCCTCCCATCAAGCTGCTAATTGTGGTGCCGCTTTCTTGTATAACTCCATAAGATGGTAAAAAATTAAGCTTTTCTCTGTATCTATCATTGCCTAACTTATAATTGCATAAGCATTTACTGAAATAAATCTTCTAAAGATGACTGCATCTTCCTTAGCCACTTCTGCCCCTTGCCCAGAATACTGCTGCCAGACTCGCCTCCCCTAGCAGCAGCGTTTACGCAGGGAGGTCCTTAATGCTCTTCACACACTTGCAAACTAAGCTGAGTGTTCCCACTACCCAGCAAGTATCAGCAAGTACCGCTATGCCTCTGAATCCCTGCCATACCCGGCAGACATCGCGTATGCAGATATTCTCAGTAGGACAGGACGGAAAACAGCATCTCGCTTTCTGGCAGCTGTGACAAACACTGTTAGCACCTGTGTGGGGCATGTCCCTTTTCTTTTACCACCGGAATTCTGATTTAGTTGAATAGTAGCAACTCTACACCAGCAACCACATATTTTACATTTCACTTGTATTCAGTCTTGTTCTTTTTTTAACAGTCTATTCAGAAGGCAGTATCTTTTACCAACTAAAATTTAGCAAGCTGGAGTGAGTTAACAGCCAGTTCCATCTGGTTAAGCAACACGTTATGAGGGCAAAGGAAACTATCAGCTCTTAAAAGCCACATAAAAAGCAATCAGTTAACAAAAATTAGATGCTTTCCACATGACAATGAAGTAATTCCCCTTCCTCTTCCTTTGCAAATCTGTAAAAGGACTATATGTTTGTGTTGAATGTAAAGAAGGTTATAAGAGAAAAGTTGTATCAGGGAGAAAATTCAGAGAGAAAACAAACCACAATCAATTTCCTTATCATCTTCAGGACATTACTCAGAACCACACAGCACTAACTCAACAAACCCA